TGCCAAACATACCAATTGATCTAATGATGCGATAAGAATTCTGAAAACAGATTTGAATTTGTCGTCAAGTCTACTTGAAATCGACTTTCCCACATTTTTGATATTATCCCCCAAATTTTTTAAAATGTCATATTCAAAAAGAGTAATTAAAAGTTCTAGTATTTCAATTTTTGGAGAAGTTAAAATCAAAAATGTGGGAAAGTCGATTTCAAGTAGACTTGACGACAAATTCAAATCTGTTTTCAGAAATCTTATCGCTTCAATAGATCAATTGGAATGTTTGGCAAAAAACACGTCTAAAATACTATGTCGCGCGTGTGTTAGACAAAAACAGAAAATCACGGTATCGAATCCCCTTAAATGAAAATGTACAAAATGAATTACTTGACAGGATGACAGAGTTCATTGAATCAATGAGAGTGCATGGTAAAAGATCATTACTACCTTTTCAAAATGGTAATAATATACAAACATTTCATATCATTTAAAATAAATAATACATTTTGTTTTATTAAATATTATTAATCAAAGCATCATTGTCAATAGGAATAATTATATGCAATACATCTTTGAAAAAATTGTTACTTGATGTAAAAGAACAGTATGGATTAGAATACATTTTAACCAGGAAATTAAATACAGATGGCCTGGAAAATTTGTTTAGTTTCTTGAAGGGCATGGCTGGAAGTGCTTGTAATAACATCACATCTTTAGATTTCAAATATTGGTGATTTTTAAATAGAACAAAATTTTAATTAATGTTATTATTATATGACTATAAATATGTAATTAATTTGTCATACATTATAATTTATAGCCTAATATGGTACATATTAGGCAAGCATTCCAATATTATATTCACTGAAAACACTAATACACAATGTAGTATGGAAGATAAATTGCTGGGTGAAAATGATTGTTTTACCGCCCAAATGTTATTATCATCTTTTAATGATTCTTCCATTCATGCTAACAATGAAGCCAACATTGAAGGGAATGTAATTACTGTTCCAGAATCTGATTTTCAGCTACTAAAACAATTTGAAGTAATTTTATAAATACTTCACTTTCCCTTTTATAATACCTAGGTTCTTAGTTTAAATTTTTATTACTTTAACATAGCTTATGTATTGTTGTAGATTGATACTGAAAATTGTGAAAAACCAGTATTCGATGATATTGAAGAAGGGTGTGCTCAATACGTTGCTGGTTATATTGCAAATCGATATTCAAATAAATATCCCTATTTATCACAAATAAATTGTAATGATACAAATAACTGGACAACCTACATTTCTAAAGGGCATATGACAATACCATCAGAAAATCTTTTTAAAGCTGTTTTGCAAATAGAACATGAATTTAAAATACTACACGGTGAAAGTTTATCAAAATCCCCATATGTTTTTAAAACATTATTTGAGATCACAAAACCGAAAATTGAGAAACTTAATGTACCTGATGAAGTATTACACTGCCTTATTAGAACACGAACATACATCAAATTAAATAATTTAAATAAACAATTAATCACAAAACAACAAAAACAATCAGACAAACTGAAAAAAATTAAATTTACAAATTAATAATACTTTGATAATTATGTACACCTATATTAATGTACATAATATGTAAATACCAATTAATAAAAATAAAAATTAGTTTAAGCATTAATTGTTATAAAAATATAAACTTAAGTCTTATGAATTGTAAATAGTATTCAAACACATTGCAATTTGTATTTTGTACCATGACTAAATAAATTTATTTAGTCATGTTTTGTACTATATAATAGTCTATAATATATTAATTTGTAGTATTGTCTTGACTATCAAAACTAGCAAACAAAATAGTTTAAAACGAGATAAATTAACAACCAATCAGAAGCGGAGAACTACGCGATAGACGAGGTAAGGGGTGGTATGCGTATCACAAAGTTGTGATCATACCTATTTATTTAGTCATGATATTATTGTTATTAAATCCTGTCTACATTATATATATATATATATATTTGTTATAGATTTGCCGGTCCTTGAACCAAATAAAAGAAAGACTAGCGCGTGGAGAACGCGGGATAAACCGTCTTGACGAGTTGGCCAGAGCCCACGATATCGCATACGAAGAAAGTGATTCACTAACCGATAGACACAGAGCGGACGAAGTATTAGAAAATCAGGCTTGGGAAGTGTTTAAATCAAGGAAAAAGCTGCGTCTTGGCTGGTCACTACATACATGAAGGTCAAACGTAAGATGGGAGCTGGTTGCGGATTTAAACAAATGGTTTTGGCTGCTAAGAATTCGATCAAAAATAAAATGAACGAAAAAAATATAACTAAATTAGTAAAACATGTCTGTCAGCTGCAAAAAAAATCTAAAAAATCTAAAAACAAGTAGACTAAAACTCCAAGAATTATACCAATACCGAAAAGGGGCGGTGTCTTACCATTAATACCTATTTTTGCTGGTTTATCAATTATCTGCATTAGGTGCACTTACCGGAGGTGTCGGTAATATAGTAAAAGTCGTGAAAGAATTAAATTCTGGTAAAAACACTCCTATTCATTTAGGCAAAGGCTTATATCTAGCACCTCACAAGGGTAGTTCTTATAAAATCATAAAAGGTAAAGGCTTATACCTAGCACCATACAAGGGCGGATCAGTTAAGAAGTCTAGGCCAAAAAACTAATTGTTACGTTACCCGATAGAGCGTTGTTCGATTATGAGGTTATAAAATACACTGTCATGTTGAAAATACCTCATTTCATTGGTGTATTTTCTAGAGACAAGTTGTCACAAAGTTTAAAAAATCAAGAGTCGGCTGTAGTTAATTTAGACACTGAAATCGGTACAGGTACTCATTGGGTAGCGTATAAGAAAATCGGAAAAAGTTAAATATTTTGACAGCTACGGAAAATTCCCTCCGCTAGATTTACAGAAATATTTCAACGGGTGCAGTATCGAATATAATTACGATAGACATAAAAAATATGATACAACAAACTGTGGTCACTTGTGCTTACAATTTTTATCATGTACACTATAACGTTAACCGGCAACTCGAGTGGTCCTTAAGATTTGTGAGTTATGACTTATAGTATCAAAATATATATGTTTAAATTTTATGAAATTTTTTAGTTATTACTACCCTTATAGCAATTACTAGAATTATAAATTATTGAATGGCACTTCTAACTTAATTTAAATTATATGTACCTATATAAATTATTAAAATAATTGTTTATTATTTTTTGATAAAAATGTACACAACATAAAATCCCTGACAGGAAAATAACGTTTTACGTTTCAGGAATAAATATTTTTAATTGTCCATATTATATAATTATAATTTATATCTATATATTATGTTTTTGGTATCTTTTATATGGTATTGTACTAGTGTCTAAATTGTGTTGTTTGTGATGGGCAATAGCCGCCCAATTGTCCAATATATTATTATAAAATAACAAAAAAACACAAATTACAAATACAAAAATTATAGATATATTTTCTAGCCATTGTAGCGATCCAACACTTACAATCTGGTACCGGCCCACTGTGCTATAGAATAGTGGCACACCGGGCCAGTCCGCTACTAGTATCCAGTTTCATTTTAGTTCATTTTAGTTTCAAGTAGTGTTTAACCGTGGAACTTCTAATACCAAATATAGGAAATGATAAAATTGCACTACACGGGTATTATATAAAAAAGAAATGGCAAAATATCATTCGATGGAAATGTTTAAAAACATCATCAATGAATTGTGCAGCAATATTAAGTACCGATTTGAAAATACCGAAAATCATACATTTTTAAGAAGAACATTGACATGCAGCTAATATAAAGGTTCAATAGGAGAGATTAAAATCAAACATATTATTAAAGAATGTTCACTTCAGACTTGTAACAATCCATTACAAATTTTTCTTGAATATCTGAATAAAATAATAAATACATTTTTATATATTTTGGAAACTAGATAGGTACCTACTTGGAATTATAAATGTTGACCACACTAACGCACCAACTAGATTCACTTTCACAGTTTCACACTGGAAAAGATACTGAAGTTAAAAATAGAAGCATTATTTCGATTACTTATCAATCGAGTTATCATGTACACATACACGAAATATTATATTTTTATTAAAACGCACACATATCATTGTAAAATCATTCCATTCATCGCTCTGCTCAGAGTCAAAAAGGTACAAGACATTTCCTTTGGTCCTTTACTCTCAGCACCCTCTGCCCACCAAACACAATAATTTTCCATAATTATTACAACAAATTAACATGTTTTAACCTGTAATAGTCCTGCAGTTCATGACATGATTATTATTGTCTATACTTAGCAGTTGTAATAAATTATAAAACAATTATTTGCACAACTTGGCATTGATTTTTCAGCCTTCCATGAGAGTCCTACTAATTATTTTTTATTACGAATTAGAGTAGGGGAGAGGTGGCCACAGTGAGACACGGGACACAGTGATACATTAAGTGTAAGTCGAGTAGTTTAATAGTTAACCACCAGATGGAGAAACTAGAAGATTCATAAAATCATAATAAACATAATGGTTAACCGTAAGGTCACGTCAAAAGCGATACTATCACTTTATCATAATATTTTTATTTTTTGTTATCAAAACGTAAAAAATGTGATGTTCGTTTTTAAAAATTTTTTCATCGAATTTTGTTAAAAGGTACGTATTTTAAGTTCTATATAAATTATATTTTTCTTGTGCATAATTTAGTTCTATACACAAATGTTTATCATAAATATTCATTCGAGAATTATGAAAAATCTGCAAAATAATAGATGGGTATACAGTGAGACAGTACAGAGTGAGACAAATAAATATTGTTGTCTCACTGTACCCTTCATCAATAATTTAATTTACATTGAAAACAATTGTATTTAAACTAATTTAATAGTATTAGAAAGTATTCCTATGCTACAATTATTAATTTTATTTTATAATTGTTTAGAAGAAACATGGGTCGTAACAGGGTAAGAAAAACAACAATTGGCACCTTCACACATGAAGAAATGTCGAATGCCGTAGATATGGTGTTAAATGGTGTTTGTTCCATTAGGGAAGCCGCTCGTCGAAACAATTTAAAAATCCCAACTGTTGCCAGGTAAATATTGATCCATGTATTAGTTTAAAATATTTTTTTTTCAAAACGTAGTTTTTTAATACCTACCAATAATTATTATTCTACAGATATGTCAAGAAAAAATCAAAAAATTCTTTAGCAAGAATGTGTCCCAAGTATAATTCTCGACAAGTATTCACGTCATCCATCGAGAAAGAATTGGTAAATTATCTTTTACAATGTTCAAAAATGTGTTATGGCATAGGTTATTCTGACTGTCGTAAATTAGCATTTCAGTTGGCTTTAAAAAATAATCTTGTTGTACCTCACAGCTGGATTATTAATGAAATGGCTGGAATTGACTGGATGAAGGATTTTATACGTAGAAATCCCACTATAAGTCTTAGGAAACCAGAAACATGTAGTCTGTCACGGGCTACTTCATTTAACAGACACAATGTTTCATTATTTTTTGATAAGCTTGAAAATGTTTTGAAAAGACATGATTGTTTTGGGGATGGCTCTAGAATTTATAACCTTGACGAAACAGGCGTTACAACTGTGCAGACACCCAAGAAAGTTATAGCCCAAAAAGGTGTAAAACGTTTAAACCAAATTACAAGTGCTGAAAGAGGTGTCTTAGTAACTGTATGTTGCATTATTAACGCGTATGGCCATGCATTACCACCAGTAATTTTATTTCCAAGGGTTCATTTTAAAAATCATATGATAAATGGTGCTCCTCCCGGGACACTTGGCTTAGCTTGCCAGTCAGGCTGGATGAACACTGATTTGTTTATTGAAACATTGTTACATTTTATTAAGTTCACTAATTCATCAAAAGAAAACCCTGCTCTTCTTATCATGGATAACCATGAAAGTCACATTTCATTAAGCTCCATTGATTCAGCAAAAAGTAATGGCGTAACGATTTTGACATTGCCTCCTCATTGCAGCAATCGACTACAACCACTTGATGTTTCAGTTTATGGCCCATTTAAGAAATATTATAACTCTGCCGTTGATGCATGGTTACAGAACCATCCAGGGAGGACATTAGATATTTATAATATTGCACCATGTATAAATTCAGCATTCGATAAATCAATGACTATGAAAAATATTCAGGCTGGTTTTTAAGCAACTGGCATATACCAATTTGACAAAAATATATTCACAGACGATGATTATTTAGTAAGTGCTGTAACTGATCGACCATATCAAAATGTTGATACTTCTATCGTTAATAACAATTTATTACCTCAATCAAGCAGTAGTACTACAGAAATAAAAACAAATCAAAATATAAATTTAACTGAAAAAAGTGAAGCATCTTTTGATAAACCTGGAAGACAACCTTTAATTTTAAACACAACTGAGTCCACAAATGTCAGTCCTGATACCATTAGACCATACCCTAAAGCAGATGATCGAAAAAATAAAATGCATAACAAAAGAAAAAAAGTAAGTGCGGTTGTTACAGACACTCCAGAAAAACTTAAAATAGAAGAAGCTACAAAAACAAAAAATGAAAAAATAAAAAAAAGCCTTTTTCCTAATAAAACCAAAATAAAGAACATTAAAAAAATAAGCAAACCAACCAAACCATTAGATGAAAATAACATTTTATCAGATAGCTCAGCTGACATGTGTGGTCCTGTTTTTACATCAGATGTGTCGGATGCAGAGTCATTTAGTTTTGATGAAATTACTGGTTTTGAAGAACTAGATAAAGACCCAGAAGAGGGTGACTATGTTTTAGTTAGATTTGCCTGTTCTAATTCTAAACAAGCAAAGAAAACTATTTTCTATGTTGGAAAAATTATTAAAAATGTAGACAACGAAGGATTTTTAGGAATATCTTACTTAAGAAGTTACAAAAAATCTAAAAACAAGTTTGTTCTGCCACAAGTGCCAGATTTATCATCTGTTTGCCTTAAAGATATAACTGCAATATTACCTAAGCCTAAAATTAATGGTAAAACAGCAAGGCAACAATCATTTTATGCATTTGAAGTAAATTTAAGTAATTTTGAAATTCGTTAGGTTAGGTTAATAAATGTAAGACTGATATTAATTACCTGTGTTAAATTTAATGATATTAGTTTTTAAGATACCTATATAATAATATAATATTTTATCTTATAATGTAATTACAAGACTGTCAAGTAGGAAAGTTACCTAGTCAGATGTAAAATAATTTTGTTTTTCTATGTTTAAACTATGTTATTTCTTTTCTAATTATATTTTAACTATTAAGACTGATGAAGTTAATTGTGATCATGAGTACCTAAACTGAAGATTTTTAAAGTGAAATAAATGTGTTGATTATTTTAAAATTTGTTATAAAAATATCTTTAATTGTTTAATCATATTATTTAAGTGTTGTGAAATCAAAAGTTTAAATATTAAAAATAATCTCCAAATTTGAAATATTTTATATTATGTACCATAGTGCCCCGTGACGTGTGTCTATCAAGGCTAGGTCACAATGAGACACTTTGACTTTTTTTAAAAAAAGGTCTCCGGGTTGAAATGTAGGTATATTTTAGAATGTATAAATATGTTTTTTAATACTCAACAATATTTAAAATAATACCATAACCTTGTCAAATGATTATTACTTAAAACAAAAAAAATATTTAAAAAATAATTTTGAGTGTCTCACTGTGGCCACCTCTCCCCTACTCAAGAGTTATTTTTTCATTTAACTCAAAAAAATTTGAATAAAAAACGTTTTCATATTTTTCAACGACTTGTGTCGTTGGTGTTACTGTTTTTAATAATTTTAAACTCAAAGTTATATTCATCAAGGTAAGATTTTTAAAAATTTCATATTCTTTGGATTTTTGACTCAAGTTTTATATATCATATTTTCAAATTTATCATTTAAAATCTTTAAATATTTTTTATGTACATTTTTATCAAAAAATAATAAACAATTATTTTAATAATTTATATAGGTACATATAATTTAAATTAAGTTAGAAGTGCCATTCAATAATTTATAATTATTCTAGTAATTGCTATAAGGGTAGTAATAACTAAAAAACTCCATCAAATTTAAACATATTATATATTTTGATACTATAAGACATAAGTCATAACTCACAAATCTTGTTAATTTTTAAAATGTGTACAAATTAAAACAAAATTATATAATATAAAAAACATTATAGATGCCAAATTTAAACCGCAAGAGAAGTGCAGTATGGAATCATTTTAGTATTGAGTCCCTTACTATTGCTAAATGTTCTTATTGTAAGGAAGGTGTTAGGTAAAGTGGTGGGTCAACGAGTAACCTTATGCGCCATCTAAAAATTAAACATGTAACTGTGCCACTTAAAAGACCACTGCTAGTAAATGATGACAAATCGGACCCCGACGTGCCAGCGTCTACAAGTGCCTCTGTAAGTACAGGTTCATCGAGGGTAGTTTCTGAAGCAGCTGGGCCATCACTGCCCATCAGCATCAAATCTATCTAAACAAAGTGCCATCACACAGTATATAAGTAAACCAATTTCACTAACAAAATCAAAAGCTATAGAATTACAGATCACTAAATTTATCGTCAAACATTTTTATCCTTTTTCATTGGTAGAAGAAACAGAATTCCGTAATCTGATTAAGATGCTTGCACCAAATTACATTGTACCTTCTAGAACAGGGGTCTTCAAACTTTTTTATTCAAGGGCCACAAAAATAATCAAATGCTCTTGGTGGGCCAAAAGTTTATTAACACATATAATTTTTAATTTTATGATAATATTTAGGTACCTACCTATATAAATAATATAGGTAGGTTTATATTTTTGTATAAAATATTGTTTACTTTACAATATACTTAAATAAAATAAATAGGTATAAATATAATATAATATAATTACATTTTTGAAATAATTTTTTTATCCATATTTACCTATGCGTCCTATGAGGGCCACGGGCTGGTTAAAACTTGTTCGCGGGCCGGATCCGGCCCGCGGGCCGTAGTTTGGAGACCCTGTTCTAGAAAAAACGATATCAAACAGTTTACTAATACATTTGTACGAAAGTGTTCTTGATAAAGTTAAAACTGACCTACATGATGTGACCGCCTTATCTTTGACCACAGGTGGTTGGACATACATCAACAACCAACATTATATAGCCTTAACCGTCCATTTTTTAAATTCTGAGACTAATTGTTGTCTAGACTAATGGTGGCATCAACTATAATGAGCAGTGTACGTCAGTTGAACTTGCCAAGTTTTTGATGGCTACTGTTAAAGCATGGAATATTGAACATAAAATATCAGCAGTTGTCACGGATAATGCTGCAAATATAGTTGGTGCTGTAAAGAAAAATAATTTGAGACATGTCCCATGCTTTCCTCATGTCCTTAATACCGGCATTCAGCGTGGTCTGACACATTTGATAACTGTCATAACTAAATAAAAATATAGTTGAATTTTTCAAGCAAAGTTATGGGGCTTCTGGTATAAATTACAGAACCATCAAAAACAAATGGGATTACCAGATCTTAAGCTGATTAAGGAGTGCAAAACTCGTTGGAATTCAGCCTATCACATGATGGAAAGGATACTAAAGTTAAAAGAACCCTTGTTGTCAACATTAGCCATAACCAACAATGATTTAAATTGCATAACTGAGGAGAAATGGCAAATGGTATGCGTGCGAGTTTCTGAAAATTTTTGATGAATTAACAACTGAGATGAGTGCTGAAAATGTTGTTACCATCTCAAAACAAAATTTATTTTATTTGTTTTTACTGGAGCATTTGCGTAAATTTATTTTTGACATCAACATGCACCGTGACATAATTTCAATGGCTGCAGAAATAAAGGCAACATTGGATAAATACTTCAAAAACATTGAAGAAAATTACGTTCAATCCCAAGCAATTTTACTCGACCCGCGTTTTAAAAAGTATGGATTTTCCAGTAATAACAAATTTGAAACGTGTAAAGTAAGCTTGGGAAGAAAACTACAGGAAATAAATGTTCAAAATATGTCAAACGAACCTGTCGAAGAACTTCCAACTACTTCTACTGTACAAAGTTCGACAAGTACCTATTTGGAAACAGTTTGATGAACAGGTCCAGGGGCGGACTGGCCAGGGAGGCGAAGGGGCAATCGCCTCCCGGGCCCTCGATCATGTCATATTAGTAAAAATTATTTATAATACATAATATTAAATATAATGATAAAACACCGTTCATTTCCTATACATATGTACATACAATAATGTTGTCACGGGCTTTTAAATTCGAAGAATTCTAAAAATAAAATATTATTACATTATAATCACTAATCAGTAATCAGTATTCCCGAAACTGTCTCCGATAATATTCGTCTTATTTTTATCGTCGTTTGTGCAAACCATAGAGTATTATAAATATAATAATATTACTCTATGGTGCAAACGACCTTATTCGATAAGTAATGTGTCGACATGTATACTACATGTTACAATTATATTATTATATCACATTTTTATGAGACGAGAGATTGTTACGTTGTTGTGTAGTTGAGTTAATACAATTTAAAATTTAATTTTGATTTTTAAAAATTCTTCACTAAACGTAAGTATAATATATTAATATGCTAAACTGTACACAAAATAATATTATGCAATCAATTATAATATATGTAATATGTTAAGGGATTGGTGGTGGTTAGTTTTTTCAATCAAAATATACCAATGATTACGTGTGTATCATACGCACAATTAATTTTACATATTTGATTAAGTACCTACGTACGCGTTGTCGGGCAGTTTACGTATTTAAACAATGTAAATTAACGCGCATATGAATCTAAGCGTAGCTGTGAAACTGTATAATACTATAATGTAATAAAATCGAATAAAAATAATACTTATATTTTATATTATTTTAATTAGGCTATCGCTATTGAATATGGAAAACGAAAAAAGTAGTGAATCAAATTATAAACATAAAAGTGGTTATACTAAACGTAAATTGAAGTTAGAAAGAGAACTACAAGCTGCAAAAACTAATCCCAAACAGTCTAAACTTAATTTTAGTTCTAAAATTTCGGAATCCTTTATAAAAAACAATCAATATAATGAAGATACAATTGAAACTGATCATTCATCTAAAAAATTTATTGTATCATCTAATTTGCACTTAGACAAGGACAATAGACAAGAAATAATAAATTCGCCTTCAAAAAATGACGCAGTAAAACTTTCTATAGAAACCGATGACGATTTTAGTCAAAGTAAATTTTTAATAAATTCGCCCTCAAAAAATGACGTAGAACTTTCTTCCAAACAAAAAACACACATTTCAGATAACAAATTAGGTTTAGAATTATTCATGGCACCTTCTCCCAAGTCTACTACTCAGATAAAATTAACTTTCTTAGATCAACATCCAGTTCATCCCACAAGTGATAAAAATGAATTACCATTTCAAGCATCTAGAATTTATTACAGACAAACTGCAACAGGAGACAAGTTTTTAAGAAAATGGTTATCCTATTGTTTGAATACCAATAAGTTTTATTGTAATATTTGTATGGCATTCAGTCCAGACCGTGACAGTGTTTGGGTTCGTGGATCTTCTTATACTGTCAAAAGAATATATGATAAAATTAGAGAACACGAAGAACATTGTCGTTCCCATGAATTTGCAGTGCAAACTTTTACACAAATTAAATTAAAAGATATAGGTGATATTGTTGATATTTTTGATTCTTCGAGACGTAAAATTGTTGCTAATAATCGAGAAGTACTGGGTAGAATTATTGACATCATTCGATTTTTAGCTAAACAAAATTTAGCTTTTCGTGGTAAAAGGAATGAAAGTTTGTATGATTTAGATATAGCAAATGAGTCGAATTTAAGTATAAAAAATAGAAGTAATTTTATGGAGTTAGTAAAATTAATTTCGAAGTATGATCCAGTACTGCGTCTTCATATAGAAAATTGCACAAAAAAATACTTAAATAATTTGAATAAAAGTGATGGTAAAAAAAAAGGAAGAGGAAATATGGTAACATTTTTATCCAACAATATGTATAACAAAATCATTGATATAATGAGGAAATCCATTCAAGACAAAATTTGTGAGGAAGTAAAACTTGCTAATTTTTTTTCTTTAGAAGTCGATTCTACACAAGATGTGTCGGTGGCAGATCAACTTTGTATTTGCTTAAGATACGTGAATAATAATACTTCTTGTGAACGAATTTTATCTATAATTTCTCTCGAAAACAGTACTGGTGTTTTTCAGTCTGAAGTAATTATTCAAAAACTTCAAGATATTGGCATTGATCTAAATAATTTAGTAAGCTGTTCATTCGACGGAGCTGCAAATATGATGGGAAAATATAACGGGTTAAAATCACATTTACAAAAGCATATCCCAAACGCAGTTTTCACTCATTGTCAAGCTCATGTATTGAATCTCGTCATTGTTGATACTACAAAATGTTGCTTAGATGCCCAAAATCTATTTTCTTTATTACAAAAAACATCAGTTTATTAAAGGCTCATTCAAGAGAACAGCACTATGGAAAAATTTGTTGGCAAATAAATTAGGAAATGAAAAACTTCGTCGAATACAATTGATTGGCGATACTAGATGGAATAGTAAAGACACGGCTTTACAGGCAATATTTCATAGTGTTAATGAAGATCACAATAAGAGAGAAAGATATGTTATACTTTTAGAAGTTTTATATGCATTAGGATACGATTCTAATGTAAATTCAGATACTTCAAGTGAAGCTCGCGATTTATTAAATAAATGGTGTTCTTTTAACACTTTAGTTACTGCTTTTTTATTTCTTAAAATTTTTAATCTATCTACACCGGTATCTAAACGAAAGGGCTAGATTATTTAGCAGCTTGGTCACATATTAAAACGTTTCAAAATAATCTGAAAGAAATATCAAATAATAATTACTTTAAAACAATTATATCTGAAGTGACACTGTTTGTTGAAGTTATGGATAAAAAGATACCGAATCATCTTCAAAACGTTGAAATTGAAGTAGAATTTCCATTGCGACGGCGTAAACGTATTAAAATTATGCCCGGAGGAAAAGCATTTGATGAAATCGGAAATCTAGACGAAAATTCAAAATATAGAGTTCAGACGTTTCGTGTTATAATGGATAAGATATTAGAAGCAGTAGATAGTCGTTTTATAAATAACTGTAATACAAGTCTTCTTATTTCATTATCATTACTTTCTCCTGGACAGAAATATTTTGAAAATTTAGAAGAACGAATAAAGAAGTATGAAAATAACTTGGATACAATTATCAAAATTTCTGGAGTGGATAAAATTAAAGTTTTAGATGAGTTACGTTCATTTGCTTCATGTTACTCAAAGCTAATAAGTACTTTAAATATAACATCTCATGCAAGTTTAAAACAATCAGATGAAGACATCAATAATGATTATGAAACAGGTTGTGTATTTATTCTATATTTTAATATTAATATCATAAATCTTTGATTAATAATATTTGCAATGTTTTTTTTGTCAATAGATTCCTCATCAGATTCGTTTAAGAATGATTTGACAAGTTGTAAAGAAAATGGGTATTGTATTCCGTGTGCCTTTTCTATTTTATACGATTATAATTTTCATTCATCTGCGTACAGTAATTTATATAGAGTGTACAAAGTCGCATTAACTTTATCCTGTACTCAAGTATGCTGTGAAAGAGCTTTCTCAAAGTTAAAAATTATTAAAAACCGTTTGAGAGCATCAATGAGTCAAGAATTACTGGAATCACTAATGCTAAAAAGTATTGAACCTGACTTGTTACCTGATACCAATGTTATCATAGATAACATTGGAAAAAATACAACGGAGCTAAGAAAATTATTAATTTTTTAAAATTTGAAGTTTAATTTAAGTTTATATTTTAAATAAACTGTTTTTATTTGTATAATTTTTTAAAACATTTAAGTGTGAAAGAAGTTAATTTAAGTATCAATTTGATGTACCTAACTATTAACTAAAAACATTTATCATTTAAAATATAATATCTTTAAAATTTAAATACCTATATAACAGCGGTTCCCAACCTGGGGGTAATTACCCCCTAAGGGGTAAAAACACGATTTTTTGGGGGGTAAAAGTTAAACTTGTATTTTAAGTACCTACTTATTATCCATTTACTCATGTGTATCATGACTGTAAATGAAATTGTAATAATATAATATTATTGTTAATAGTTTTGGGAAATACCTTATCTTATGTCCTAATGACACTGATAATTTTATTATCTTCAAATAATACTTAGGGCCGTTCTTACAATGTCCGGTTAAAGTTAACCGACACTTAACCGGCCGAATTCTGCCGGTAATAAAATCTGTTTTCAGTCGGTTAGCGTTAACCGACACTTTACCGGACATTGTAAGAACGGCCCTTAGAATATTACATTATATTGAATTTCCTGGAATTATTTTTGTTGTACGATTGTCTACACATTTTATATTCTATTATTATAAAATGATATCGATATTAAATTTAATGGTTTTAATCTTTTACCATCAGTCAGTCGTTCACTGTTTGTTCATTAGTGTACTTGTCTGTGCCGTCTACTGAATATCGATCAGTATTGTCGATTTTCTGATTATTTTGCCTTGAAGTAAAAGTAGGTGAGTAAAATAATTTTATATTTTTTTATGCTGGATTTTAATAATTTTCCTTTGAATCAGGAACCATGTCACAAGGGAAAAAACGGTCATACAAAGAAGCTTTTCTACAATGGGGTTTTACTAAGTTTGTTGATAAAAGTGTCGAGAAGCCTCAATGTGTTCTGTGCAACAAAGTTCTCACAACAGAAAGTATGAAACCAAGCAAATTAAAAGAACATTTTGAGAGAAGTCATTCTCAGTTTGCAGAAAAAGATATTGCATTTTCCAAACGTAAAGAAGATGCGTTAAAAAATGCACGTATGGATTCATCCGGTTACTTTTTTCAGTCAACTGAAGCTGGTCTTGAAGCTTCATATTGCATCGCTCTACGAATCGCAAAAAACAAGAAACCTCATACAATTGGAGAAAATCTCATCAAACCGTGTATACTAGATGCAGTAAAACTTGTTCTTGGAGAGCAACATTTAGAAAAGATAAATAAGATATCACTTTCTAACAACACTATCAAAAATCGTATCGAGGATATGAGAAAAAATATTTTGGACACAGTGCTCAATGAAATAAAGTCAAGTCCTTTCTTCGCCTTACAGTTAGATGAGTCGACCGACGTTGCATCTTGTTCCCAGCTACTTGTCTATGTTCGATACATAAAGGGTGACGACATAAAAGAAGAATACTTATTCTCAGAATCACTGAGTATTACTACACGCGGTGAAGATGTTTTTCGGACAGTGAAAAATTTTGTCGATGAAAATGAGCTGCAGTGGTCGAAGTTAATAGGTGTCTGTACAGATGGAGCACCAGCCATGTTGGGCATTCATTCTGGTTTCCAAACATTAATGAAAGAAGTTGCTTCATTTGCATCATTTAATCACTGCATTATACACCGTTATGCTTTGGCAATGAAAACTCTTCCACCTCATTTAATGGACACATTTACTCGTGTAGTGAAAATTGTTAACTACATCCGAAGCAGTGCGACAAATACAAGAATTTTTAAGGACTTATGTAATGAACTGGGAGGAAAATTCGACGTCTTGTTGTTCCACACAGAGGTACGTTGGTTGTCGAGAGGCAAGGTGTTGCACCGAGTGCTTGAGCTCCGAGAAGAAATTGCTTTATTTCTAGAAAGGAAAAAATCAGGGAAGGTAAAGGAGAAAGAGTTTCACGCTCAAATAACAGATAATGTATTTATTTCTAAACTGGCATATCTTGCGGATTTCTTCGGAGAAATAAATACACTTAATCTCTGTTTGCAAGGAAATATGACGAATATTTTAACTGCTCAAGATAAGGTTGCCAGTTTTCTTCGTAAATTGCAACTTTACCAACGCAGAATTGATGTCGAGGACATTTCAATGTTCCCAGAACTAACAATGGTGCTCGACGAAAGAAATGAAAAATGTTCATTCACAGACCAAATAGCTCTTCACTTATTATCAGTAGTAGATTCAATCGGTAAATATTTTCCAGATTTAAAAAATCGTCAAGTAAATGCTTGGGTGCTAAGACCCTTTTCAGTGGATGAAAATGTATTTCCAGATACTGAAATTGAAACCAAATCACAATTTTTAGGACTTCGTGAAGACAACACACAGAAAATAGATTTTGAAAACACACAACTAGCAACATTTTGGCGAAAAATTGGTGGCGAGTATCCATTATTATCAGAAAAAGCCTTGAAAATACTGATCCCTTTTTCCACAACGTACAGGTGTGAAAGTGGATTTTCAACAACGGTAACAATGAAAATAAAAGCAAGAAACCGATTAAACTTGGAACACGGCCTAAGATGTGCATTGGCCGAAACTGAACCGAATATTAAAGAAATTGTTAGAAAAAAGCAATATCAACCGTCTCATTAATGTTCATTATTGCCGTTATTCATTAGTCGTAATAAAAACTCTTATTTTCTTTGTTTGAAAAAATAAAATAAATTATAATTATTATCATAATATATATTTTGTTTTGTTTTTTTTTTTACTCGGGGTATATGTTAATATCTAACCTGACTTATGGGTAATAGTCTCAAAAAGGTTGGGAACCGCTGCTATATAATATATTATACATATAACTATACGAGTATAAGCCATTTAGATGTAGGCTAAATCCCGGGCCCTAATATTGCTGATTAACCTCCCGGGCTCCTTGACACCCAGTCCGCCCCTGAACAGGTCAGTTCGGTTCTTGGTCAAAATAATCCATCTGTGGCAAGCATTGTAGAGTTGGACAAATATTTGAGTGAAAATCTCTTAAATCGTCAACTGGATCCTTTGAAGTGGTGGTCTGAGAGAAAGCTTTTATACCCTAGATTGTATGAAATGGTTAAAAGACGACTTTGTGTACCAGCAACATCAGTTCCTAGTAAACGAGTTTTTTTCAAAAGCTGGTATGATTCTTAATAGCAAAAGAACCAAACTGAAAAAGTAGAAAAAATTATATTTATACAATCAAACATGTAAATATACTATGCTATATTATAGTAAGTAAATAATTAAAATGTATAAAAAAGAATATAATACAACAAAATGTATTTATATTATATGCATAGTATTGCAAACGCATATTTGTTTTGTTTAGTATATAATAAACAGTTACCTACATTTTTAGTTTTATTTTGTTATGACAATTTGTTTAATATTATATTCTTTTCATACAATACCTAACATAAAGATAACATTGTGTAATTAAAAAATTCATTACATATCTTACATTATAGTTAATACAATTTACTCCACAGATTTAACTCAGATCATTTTTACAAACACAGTATGTATAAAATATTAAATAAGAAATAAGAATATTAAAAACTAATAAATCACAAAAAAAACTATAATAATATAAAATATTTTAACAACTTTAACAAGAAACAAAATAGTGTGTTAAGTAATAATATTTTTTAATTTTTCTTAATTCATAATTTAATAATTATAATTTAAACTAATAAATACAAAACACTATACTCTATTCAGAATAACCTTGCCCACTTTCGCGCACGCAACTGAGCCGCCGGCAGTCGTCAGACCCCCCGGCGAGAGTCAGGTGCACTGTGATTGGTCGTTAGTTGTCGACCGCTACCGTCATGCGTCGCTATCGACAGCCGCCGCCGTGTATACAGATAATCATAATAAATTACACGATCATAATAATTATTACCTATAATGTTATAAATTATAATCTACAGTTTTTATTTCTTAACTGTTTATTGTACTTTTATCTTATTGTTCTGCACCAAAAACAATGCCTACCTTGTATACAATTATTATTAAAACCAAATAGGTATTATTACATGTAGTAGGAAATTATAACTAAAAAATAAATACAAATTTCATATTTAAAAAAATTACTCATATTTCTTAAAAAACTCATTATTTCTAAACAGCTATTTACAAAAATTAAATTTATATTTACAAAAACTATGGTCATATTTACTATAGTTACTCATTTTTATACATTTATTTACACAAATTAAATTCATATTTACAAAATTTATGGTCAGTTTTATTCAGTATCTGAATCCGTTTCAGATGATGTGTCTCCAGTGATAGTCATCAACAAATCATCTGATTTCTCCGCGGACAAGACCTCGTCTATGATATTGTCGACTTCATAAAATTTTGTTTCCTCTTTTTTTGTGTGGCTTATAAAATTTTTCCACATTTCTGCGTCGACTCGTTTTATGCCTTCTATCAGTAAATTCTTTACATCTGGAAGCTTGTAAGTGGTATTATTCATCCGAACGTGGTTCTTCACTGATGACCAAGCCAGCTCAATGGGGTTTAGCTCACAGTGGTATGGCGGGAGTCGTAATATTGTATGATTATTGGCTTTTACAAGTTCGTCAATAACATACTTACTATGCAGTGGCTTCAAACGTTTGACTATGAGTAGAAGTTGAGGGATGACCATTGAGTGATTTATCACTTCTCCTTTATCTTCTAACCACTTGATAATATCCGCCTTTCGGGTAGAGGATGTTGGGGCTTTGTCGATTTTGACGGAATGGTAGGACGCATTGTCCATAACAATTACGGAGTTCGGTTGTAGTAGAGGTAGAATTCCCTCCATCCACTCACGAAATGTGTCCCCATTCATTTCGTCATGGTAATCGCGTGTGTTTTTTTTTGATTCGAAACACAATAAACCTCCGGGTAGAAAACCATCTTCTGAGCCAATATGGAGTACAATAAGGCGTTTGCCCTTGCCCGAGGGATTAACAGCACCGGTCGATAGACCTTTTAGGAATGCGTCCCGGTGAGATCGTACCGTTGTGTCAACCCACGTTTTTGATGTACAATCGCCAGCATTCACCCATGTTTCGTCGAGGAAATAAATATGCCGACCTTCTTCACGATATTGTTTAATGTTTTCCAAATAACATCTGCGCCACCCAACAATTTCATTCTTTTCAGTCATCGCACTGTTCCTACTGCGTTTATTGTACCGGAAATCTAAATCTTTTAAAAGATGAAATAAATTGGTACGCGATATTGATGGCAAACTGTCGTCGGCGGAAACGGCTTGGTGGATTTTATCAACCGTCGGAATTTCACGACGAAACCAAATGCTATGAACGTGCCTGCGTACTGCGTTTTTTGAAAATTCGTCAAAAAGATCGCGGAAAGATTTTTTCTTACGTGTCTGTTTTGGAGCAGCCACCGTGTTTGTCTCCTTGTATGTAGAAATTATTGTCTGGATTGAACGTTCGCCAATACCCAATGTTTCCGATATTTGTTTTCGAATTTGTCTCACGGAGATGCTAGGTTCATTCATTATGATAGTTTTGTACATATTCACAATCCGGATTCTTACTTCCTCACTTATAGCCTGAAATAAAAATATTTAAAAAATAAGTCTTAATAAAAATGCTGTCTTGGAGGACTTATTTGTAACTAAGAACCATATACTATTTTATTTAAATACTTTTAAAATTTAAAAAAAAATTATGATAACTTATTTATATTATATATAATACTCACTTTTCCCATTTTATGCTTTTTAATTGGTGATGGGACATATTGAGCATCTTCATCACTAGAAATGCTTGCCATGTTGAATGAATAATTCACAAAAAAATATTAAAAAAATAGCAAGTTACAGAGAGTGCGCGGTGTTTTTTTATATGTTACGGAATGAACGCGTGAATCACTTGTGGTACTGAAAACGTGTGATATTATTGTTCACTACGTATACGCCTGCGGCGCGTCGGCGGCGGCAGCACGGCAAACATGAGCGCTCACGGTGGCAACAGACATGCGCGAACCAGACGAGTTTTCGTCGGCCGAGTGGGCAAGGTTATTCTGAATAGAGTATAGTCACAAGCACAAAATTCTTATAAGCAAAAAATCACTGCGGTCTGAGACTCTGAGACGCATGTTAATATTGTTGAACATTGTTTGGCAATTAATGGCTCCATCCATATTATTACTATATTATGATTTAAGATAGTACTATCCAAATTTTATCAGTTATCATCACAGTCATATTAACTGATAGTTGGTACACGGAACAAACAAAAGGGAATCTTAAGGCTCATCGAAAAACCGTCCGACATTTCTAGATTTTAAACGTGCTGCCATGTACCGAAAAATTCCCTTTTTTTAAGTTTTCTGTGGTTTGTGGCTACACTGTTAATCTACAATTCTACTCATTGTTATTTTAACTTTATTATTTTTGTAATTTTTTAGTCAAGCACTAACGTACTTTCATAATTAATATTCCTCATTTGGTAACTATCAAAGTCTGAATTTTCCTATTAAATAAATTATAATGTTAACTTGTTATGCATGTTGATTGTTATATTTGTTTTATTATTTGTTATTATTGTTTACGATGATGTAATTTGTTTTTGATACTTTACAAAAAAATAAATTGAATTTATACTGTGTAATAGTTTAAATTGTACAGCTCTTAGAGAGTAGTAAATGTGAATTTGAGGTATTATTACTGACTATAGGTACAGGTTATGTAACAATGTCACATACTTCTACCAGTATATTTATTTAGAATAAATCTTCAATTTGTCTTAGCAATTGCGTGTACTAATTACACAAGTTCCAAAAATATAAAATAAAATTAGTACTGCTTGGATTATTTAAAACCAGCGTACGTAATTTGTATTGTAATCTTCTGTGTACCTATGCATTTTTTGTTCATTCATCAACTAAATGATAGTGATAAATAAATTATGTATAGTTTTTGTTTTTCTTAGATTCTGTACTTAGATAAATGGTAAAAATGCAATTTCTTAAAAAAAATTGGTTTGATTGTTTGAATATAATAATATATTAGAAATTTGAACTAATAAACAGTGCTGCACGATATAAAGAAAAAAGGGAAATTCCCGGTACGTGGCAGCACGTTTAAATGTTAGAAATGTCGGACGTGGTTTTATCATCTCTCATAAGAGTCTATGTTAAATGAAATATGATTAACTTCTATTTGTTCTGTGGTTGGTACCAAAAGGTAGGTAATTGTTTAATGGATTGGCCAGGGAGCATATAAGCATACCATACATTGCTAGAGACCCACAGGAAATCGAGAGCTCTCATTGGCTGTATTACATTGTGATAACATTATACAATTATCAATATTTTAAAATTATATGTTTTTTTTTTTTTGAAACTAAATTATTTTGAATATTTTTGATTTATTAAATAAATAAATTAAAATATGATTTATCCAGCATCATTTAAACATGAAATTGTCAAAGAAGACAATGTTAATATTATTATAAGGTGTGATGCCAAATCTATAGAGGATATTAATGTGTGGGTTGCTGAGTTAGGTTAACTCAATTATATACCTTTTAACGTTCGTTCGAGTATTCCAAATGGGCAGCGAATTATGTGTTCGTAAGTATTTTATATTGTATTCACTGAATAATAAACTATTTCTCATAGGAATCCCAACTAAAATAATTTGAACATTTTTCAGTGAAAAGTTTATTTGTCAACACAGTGCTTTTCAGAAGCCTGGTGCATTAGCAAACCATAAATGCAGAGTGTCCAGCAAGCTTTAAAGCTGTTATTAAACTGGACACAGTATCTACGAGGAAGAAAGATCCATTTATTAAGGTACATATTCGCATTATACAATTAAGCTTATAATTAATGTTTTTGTTTTTTTGTTTAGCTTGTGAATTATTGAATTCTTCCAGATCATCTATGGTGATATATTATCCTATTATTATTTTAATTTTTATTGTGAGTATATCTTGTAATTAATTTTTGTAATGAGTTTTTTTACAGGTTCCTAATACCTAAGTGTTATATTTGTAAAATAAAAATTAATTCTACATTTTTATAGATTGGTCAATGGGTAATGTAACGTGCTACTCCTCGTTACTCGTATACAGGGCCGGATTATGGTCATAATTTAAGGGGGGCTATTACTTTTATTGAGGCCTTTTCACCTAAAACAATTTCCTTTTTTTCTTCTGATTTATTAATTTGTAATAAATATAAATATAAAATAAGTATATAGAATTGTTTTTAAATAACATTGTATTCTTATATCATATTATACATTTTTCGGCATATGCAATAAAAAAAATATACATATATATTTTTAATCTTATATAATATTATGTTTGAAAAACTTTTTCCTGGGCAAATTGTCTTATAATATTTTCAAATGAAATATTCATGGTCAATTCACACTCTATTGAAAGAATAGATAGAGATGTCAGTCTTGATTCACCCATCATAATACAACGATATTTATTTTTAATTATTGTTAGTGCAGAAAAAGATCGTTCACATTCACAGTTAATAACTGATATACTTAAAAAAATTCGGAACGCTACATAAATATGTGGAAAAACGCCCGAGAGATTATCTTCAACAATAATTTGTAACATGTTAACCGGGTTTTTTATTAACTTATTATCTTCCTTGACTTTAACCATACCAATGAATTGTTTCAATTCGTCGTATAGACTTTCTTCTAGATCACGAGAGTAAACTTTGACTAAATTATTTACGGATTTTTTCAATAAATTATCATCAATCACGTCCAAGCGAGTCAAAATTCCAAAAAGGTTTGTTATATTGTCTTAAGCTAAGCTACGTTTTTTTTAATTTGGTTTTGCAATTTATCAATAACAAAAAAAGTGTTTACTCTAAATGTATCTCTACCTTTTAAATTCTCATGACATGTAGTACCATCCGAATATTTTTGAATAATTTTAAGTTTGTTTTTTCCTCCATTAGACCATTCAAAAGTACGTGTTTGTCGTTCATAGAACGTGTAATGAAGTATCCAAGTCCATAGTCCATTTTCATATGACATAAATTTAAAATTTATAAGTTATAATAATGTTTTCAAAAAAAATGAGTTGACACACTGTGGTCCCTTTCAACTTGCGGCCCGGGGCTATAGCCCCCCCCCCTTGATCCAGCCCTGCTCGTATAGATGGAAGTATAAATTGAATAACTCCTCGATGATGGTAATGATTGTATTTATTTTGTGCAAAAACAGTTATGATGAAAAATAGTCGAAGTCCAATTAATTATGTTTATGACTTAAGCGAAATGTGACTAGTGAGTTAATTAGTGACTGGTTGCTCGTCTGATGAACGCTTGTCCATCAGCTCCACTCGATGGGTCTCTTTCCCTGTCCCTTCCATTAGTTCACAAGACCATACATGGTCATCCTGCGGTTAGGCCTATCGTGGGATTTGTCACCCGGTCTTGCACGTGCCGGATGTTATCGGATAACATCTTGTTATTTGTGATGTCATTTAATATAACAGCACAAATCCTAATACACAGTATTTTAGAATTATTTATATACGTAGTCATATATCTATTGCCGAGTGCAGTTCATGGTCATGCGTTCGATATTATTAGCTTCGCGCTGTATATATGATATCGTCGCTCTACTACACACTTACTGTATACATGGTACCAGCGATATTATTATTATTATTAACGTTTAAGCGAGCAACGCTCGCGTATTACAATTATATTATATTTACGCGGCGCGTCTATTATATGATTACGTACATATTAGAATGAGATTTAGATTGTTATTTAAGAAGATAGTCACAGCTCGCTACAGTAATAATACAAAAGTTAAGTCATTATGAAATTAATCCATAACACTTGTATGATTTTAAAATATAAACAATTTATATTATGTCTGACTAATAAAAATAAATGTATTAAATAATTACTTTAAATGTGTGTTCATTATTAATTAACAAACAATACATTCTCTATAGTCTATGGTATTAACGTACACTGTTATTTATATAATGTATTAAATATGTTCACAATATGTCAATATATACATTTATCAATCAATGATGTGATTTAATAATTAACAACACTTAATAGAAATATCAAAATCATTGTATTATTCAATTACATGTAACATATTTTAAAATAATAAATAAAAATATAAGTTTAAAAATAATAATAATAATACAATAATACATACATTAGTTATCAATAAATATTTAATATTTATATTACAGAAAGGTTTAGTATGTTGTATAGAAATATATAATCATCATACCCATAGTAGAAAATCTGCCGAAAGTCTAAGATTCATTCCGGCTAATGATGATGTAAAAAATATGTTTAATGAGTACTTTTATAGTGGATTGGGTACAGTGGCGCAACTAGGGGGTTGCAAAAAGGTCTTTAGCACCCCCAAGTTAAAATTTAGCACCCCCTGTTTTTTATATTTAACTTTTATTATTTTATTGAAATACTATGAATGTTATGTTTTTAAATATTATGATAAATTTCCTGAAAAAATATTTAATTATTTGGTCGTAAGTCTTATAATATAATTCATTATAATTCATTCCATACACGGATATTCCTATAATATTGTTAGACAATTAACGATAAGGACGATACGGAGAAATATATTGCTTCCGTGCTATTTTTAGCCAATAGGTCGTATCAAAAAGCACTATATCTCAATAGTATAATATTATACTATATATTATATATTATATATATAATATCAGGTACACTGCGGTGGACTGCAATTATACTGGTAAACCCGCATGGGTTCTATAATAACGTTTTATTGGGTAAATCTTTATTATACAATCTTAAATCTTACATTAATGATTAATATTAAGTCTTGTTGACCGTCAACTTTGAAGACGTGAAGTACTTATTCGAGTGTCTGTTGTGTTATTGCGTTAAGAAATTTACGATTTACTTGTTGGTTGTTAATATTTATTAAGATACTTTAAAATGTTCAGTTTATTTAAAAAACATACAAATGTAAACTTGGATGACCCAAGTGTATCTTGTTCGTCGGGTACGTCAAAAAATGACATAGGTGTTCATGATTTGGGAACTCTAAGTACTGGTCCTCGTCGTCCAGTTCTAGCAGTAAGTATCGATTAAATTTTAACCTAACTAAGTCGAAACACTAAATTCTAAACATATATTTATGTGCTATTTAGTCATATAAAAAAAGTCAATTTGGAAAACAATCAAGATCATTTCGTAGCCAATGGTTTAATGACTTTGAGTGGTTAGAATATAGCATTGAGCGAAATGCTGCATTTTGTTATGTATGTCGGATTTTTAGTACAGGAAACTGTACCCAGGATGTATGGACTCATTCCGGATTTGATAATTGGCAAAAAGTAATATTATAAATAATTTACCAATGCAACTATTATTATTAATATTAGCTTGGTCTATTTTAAATATTCAATATAATTTTTTTCAGTTTGGTACAAAAGTAAATGGTCATTTCTCTTCTAAAAACCATCTGACAAATGTAGAAAAAATAAATTCATATAAAAAAACAAAATAAACAGGATCTGTAATAACTCAAATATCACATTTCCATAAAGAAGAAGTGGCAAAAAATAGAAAATATATGTCTTACTTAATTAAAATTGTATTGTATTTAGCCAAGCAAGGTATTTCATACAGGGGGCATGATGAAAAATGTGATTCTTTAAATCAAGGTAAAATTGTATAAAAAATTAAAAAATAATGATTTGTTCTGTGTGATTGATAACAATTAACTACAGTGGAACCTCGATTATCCGGGGTAATTATGGGGAGGGGGTCACACGGATAAATGAAAATCACGGTTAATCGAGACTTTTTATAATAATGAAATTTTTATTTAATTTTAATTAGAAATACATAGGTACAATTTTATAATAATGGAATTTTAAAAATTTGATTCAATTATAATTAGAAATATGTATACATACATAATATACATACAATAATTTTATACAACAAGTTATTAGGGCTTAAAATATGAAGTTATCAGTCTTTGTTTTTTTTTGGTTTGAAATAATTTTCCTTACTTCACTTCTAATTTTTCTTAAGCCAATAATGTCATGGAAGTCAAAATTTTCCTGTTCGCAGAAGTTCAAGAGGACATCAACTGCTTCCATTGCTTGGCTTGTCTGTATTTTTTCAAAATGTTCTTCATTATCACTCTCAGAAGAAGAATCAGGCTGTTGTGAGGTAGATGGTGTACTTACGCTGCCATAACGAACTGCTATGTCACTGTCACTCAAACGCTCAAATCCCTCTTCGTTAAGATCTTTTTGTAGCCAATCAACAATATCGTCTTCATCAACATTAGTGAAATCTGGAATAGATGTAGCTAGATCAAGACAAGCTTTTATATCCTTATCGACCGTATCTTCGATACTTTCTTCGTCATCATAGTCTTGATCCAAAATTTTCGCCCAAGAAAGTCTTAACGTAGTTGCAGGTACATTTTCCCAAGCATTACATACTGCAAAAATGGCATCTTTTATGGTCCACGTTTTCAAAAGTTCTTTCATCGAATCAAAACAATCTTCTTGCAAAAGATAACGGAGAAAAATCTTTTTGTACCTTCGTTTCAAACAGGAAATCACGCCTTGATCCATTGGTTGTATTATGGAAGTTACGTTAGGTAGTAGATAGTAGACAAAAATTTGACCATCCGGGGTTTTCAGGGTAGATTCTGAGGGGTGTTGTAATGGGATTACGCAATATCATGTATTTGCTCATAAAAACAACCAGGAACGCGACCACACCCAAAAGTGTTTTCGACTACGAATACCACTTTCATAGTCGTGAGGTCCATATCAAGGACGACTGTACACGCGCCGCTCACTTCAAAGGACGCCGCCACCATATATATAGGGGACAGCGAGACAGCCTGAGTAGATGTATCCAGAGACGAGAACACCACACGACTCGCTTAGCCGCCCAGCCATCACACACAACTTACACGGAGATTATCAACTTCGGAACGAGCTACAAATTCGCTACAATCAACACTATTATTCTGCTTGTTTTGTCTGGTTTAATATAATACATTTGATTACCATACTAATTGACTATTATTATTTATCAAAGTACACCAGCTTTTGGATCCCTGAAGGGCCGCATGTAACACTGGCGCAGTCGACGTAGGATTCCACAAAGGGAGGCAACCATCAAAGGCTACTGTCAACAACGAAGAATTGATCACTCTTCAGCGAAGACAACTCCAGGAGGAACCAACAAAAAACAAATAAGTCACATCGCAGTACCAACAAATCCATTAGCAGCATCATCAACGGCAGCATGTCAACGCAGCATTATTGTGAGTGAATAGTTATTTAAATTTGTTACATAGACGTATGCAACATAATTAAGACATATTAAGATAAATCTAGGTAGTTGATTATAAGTGTAATGGTGTAAACCGTTTTAAATTTTATTGAGGGCATATTTTATTGATTATTATTGAAGTTTATTGAATTATTGAGGGCATATTGATTATTTGAAGTTTTATTATTGAGGGCATATTTTATTGAAGTTATTATTGATTATTATTTATTGAGGGCATTTTTATTATTGAAGTATTATTGAAGTTTATTGAATTTATTAGAGGGCATATTATTGAAGTTATTATTGTATTTATAGGGCATTATTGAATTTTATTGAGTATTATTATGATTATTAACGTATTAAATAGGTGGTTAAGTTAATTTATGGACAAAGAAGATACATCTCCCTTGAACGTAGCTAATTCATTGTATGACACTAGTGTAGTAGAAGAAGCCCAGTTAGAAGCCCAGTTATTAGCCCAGAGAGAAGCCCAAGACCAGTTTGAAGCCCAACAGAAAGCCCAGTTAAATACTATAGTAGATACCCAGTTAGTAGGTAGCACAAGTAAAACCCCAAGTCCACAATTAGGAGTAGTCACACGTAGCAAAGTCACAGATAGTTTTGAACATCAGTCGTTAGATTTTATATCTAAATCACGCAATAAAAAAATGGCAGTAACCATAAAATTAGAAGACGCTTTTAAATTAATTCCAGTATGCACAGGGATAGATGATATTTACTAATTCATAAATGCATGTGATATGGCAGTAGGTTTAGTCGACGCAACTAGCGCACCAATATTAGTAAAATATATTACTACACGATTAACGGGTAGAGCATTAGAAATGATTAAATATAAAAACGTAACAAAATGGCAATTTATAAAAGCATATTTAACAGACGCATTCGAAGTAACAACCAATGCATCATCGTTACAACTTCAATTAAATTCGATTAGAATGAATCACAATGAGGATGTAAACGATTATTGCCACAGAGTAGAGAAACTATATTATCAGTTATGTACCGTAAGCACATTAAACAAAGAGCCGACAGAAGCAAAAATTATACATGAAACATTAAGGGACCAAACTCTAGCAGTAGGTATTTATTAAAGGATTAGTAGAACCGATTAGAACGATAGTAAAATCTCGTAATGCTAAAACTCTTGAAATCGCGAAACAAATCGCTATGTCAGAACAGGTAGAACTAAGATTAGAACAGGAAAATAGGAATCATTATTCGAGTAGTTATTCACAAAACAATAATCAACGTAGACCAAATTATGAAATTAGGAACAACAGGAACGTTAGACCAAATAACTTTGTAAGGCCGAATAATTTTGCGCAAAATAATTATCCACGAGCAAACAATTTCTCTCAACCAATTAATAGACCACCAATAAAATGTTATAACTGCAATGGAAATCATTTTGCATCACAATGTAGAAATAATTCGAGACCTAACTACGCGAGCAACGGAAATAACAACCGTCCACCTAATAGAAATAATTTTACGCAACCGCCGACAAATTATAATGCACAACCAGTTACGTGTTCATATTGCAATAAAAACGGTCATAATGTAGATTCATGTTATAAAAAGAGAAACGACGAAAGTAGAAATAATTCGGGAAACGCCAATGTATCGAACGAGGTACGCGGTACTCGCACGATAAACCAGATTATCGCGGAACAACCGACGAACGAATATTTCACATATTCGCAAAACTAGAAAATAATCATATAACATTCAATTCTAATGCCGCAAAAACAAATCAATTACATTTAATGATAGATACAGGTAGTCAGGTAAATATTCTCAAAATAAATTGCTTACGCGAAGAACTAGAAGTAGACGAAACACAAAAAATAAATCTGCGCGGTATAAATGAATGTCTTACAAAAACCATAGGGAAAATATCAATATTAATTAAATTAAATAGCGAAAACATTAAAGCAGAATTTCATATCGTAAGTGCACGATTCCCAATACCCAAGGACGGAATATTAGGAAACGATTTCTTGTCGAAAAATAACGCAATAGTCGATGTAGCAAACAACAAATTAATTATTCAAACGACCTCGCATGCGCTAACAAATTTCAAAGAGACCGACAAAACCAGTTTTATTAAATTAAATCCGCGGACTGAAACTATTGTAGGAATACAGATAGCTGACCCACTCATAGAAAGCAAAGAAATATTTACACATAAGCAAGAACTAGTAAAAGACGTATATTGCAGTAGTACAGTATCTATCGTTAATAATGGTAGGGCAATAGTTAGCATGTTGAATATCTCGGAAGAAACGAAAAATATATCTGAAATTGATTTAAATAAAATACTCTTTGATACTGAATACGAAATATATAATGTAGAATCGACAAATGATCATAAAGAATGAATAGAACGTTTGAAACAAGTAATAATAACTGACCACATGGACGAAATTGAAAAACAATCTATTTACGAAATATGCGAACGATATAATAACATATTTCATTTGGAAGGGGATGTTTTAACATTTACCAATGTCGGCACACATTCTATTAAGTTAAAAAAGGATCAGCCACCTATCTATCGTAGACCTTATAGATTACCACACGCACAACAGGAGGAAATAAATTCACAAATTCAAAAAATGGAAGAAAATGGAATTATCGAGAAATCGAGAAGTCCATGGAATTCCCCACTATTATTAGTACAAAAGAAAATGGACAATTCAGGCAAACAAAAGTTTAGAGTAGTAGTAGACTTTAGGGCACTTAACGAAGCTACTATAAATGAATTTCACCCTTTACCAAATATTACAGAAATACTAGATCAACTAGGAAATAGTCAATTATTCTCTCTATTAGATTTATCAAGTGGTAAAAACCAAATTTTGATGGAAAAAGACTCACGAGAGTTAACAGCCTTTTCGACTAACCAAGGTCACTGGCATTTCAAACGAATGATACAGGGAATGAAAACGAGTCCCGGAACCTTCCAAAGAGTTATGAATTCAGCTCTGGCAGGTTTAATAGGAATAAAATGCTTAGTATACTTAGACGATATAATAGTATATGGGAAAAATTTATATGATCATAACGAAAAATTAATAGAAGTTTTCGAGCGTTTACGAATAAGCAACTTAAAATTACAACCAGATAAATGCAACTTCTTAAAAAGAGAATGTGTATATCTGGGACACGTTATTACGAAAGACGGAATAAAACCCGACGAACGTAAATTAAAAGCAGTAGTAGAATTTCCAATACCAACAACTGTAAAAAACATTAAATCATTTTTAGGATTAAGTGGTTATTATAGGAAATTCATAAATTCATATAGCGCAATAGCAAAACCACTAACCAATTTATTAAAGAAAGACACGAGTTTCGTATGGAGTAACGAATGTCAAAAGTCATTCGATACCTTGAAGGCAGCGTTATGCTCAGAACCAGTTTTAAAATATCCGGATTTCACAAAGACCTTCTTATTAACTACAGACGCGAGTAATAAAGCACTCGGGGCTATTTTATCTCAAGGAGAAATAGGTAAAGATTTGCCAATATGTTATGCGTCGCGCACATTAAATAAAAGCGAAAGCAACTATTCAACAACAGAATTAGAATGTCTTGCAATAATATTCGGAGTTAAACAGTTTCGACCATATTTATACGGTAGGAAGTTTATAATACTTAGTGACCATCGTCCATTAACATGGCTCTTTAATTTGAAAAATCCATTATCAAAGTTAGCTAGATGGAGAATACAATTAGAGGAGTACGATTACGAAATACGTTATAAACCCGGAGTTTTAAATTCAAATGTAGATGCACTCACACGCATGTACTCTATACAGGAAATAAAAAACGAATCATATGAAAATTTTCTCGAAAAATTAGAAACACAAATTATCACAAATAGTAATGTAAAAGAAACTATAGGCACAGTAATAGATTCACCAAAAGAATATAATATAGTGTCAGAAATTGCCAAGCAATATAATTTTAGAACAGGAACAAATTATCAATTAAAAAAACAATTTGGAAACGGTATAATATTGCCGACTAGTAAAGTAATAGGGGACACACCATATTTCAAACATGAAAACCGATTTATAATATTCTTAGTAACAAAAAACAAGGACCGACAGAGGGCCACTTACGAAACTATATATATATCGTTAATAAATTTAAAATTATTTTGTGAGGAGAACAATTTGAATAAATTAGCCATGGGCAAGCTAGGCGATCACGATGATTTAGAATGGGAAAAAATAAGGTCAATGTTGCGATACAT